AAAATCTAAAAAAGTTGAGTCTGGTCCTTTTGGACGTTCAAAAAACAAACAAACAAACAAACAAAAACTAAAGTAGAAATGTTTCTTCTTTCATTCGAAAGACTTCTTCAGTCTGAGGAGCTGTATTCAGCTCATAAATGGCTATTTATAAAAGACTGAGGTGAATACAGCTCCTCAGACTGAAGAAGTCTTTCGAATGAAAGAAGAAACGTTTCTACATTTTTGTTTGTTTGTTTTTGAATGTCCAGAGGACCAGACTAACTTTTTTTTTTTTGATTTTTCTACCTAGATTATTAAGCATGCATCAGGATATCTATACTTAAAATTCTATATTTTTCTTCATCATTTGATGTATTTGCACTCATTGTGATTTTTGTTTCTTGTTTACAGATTATTTTTAGCTTTGAATTAAAGTTTAGCTTTGAATTAAAGTTTTTAGCTTTTGATTTAAAGCTTTGATTTAAAGTGTAATGCTTGTTTTGTGATTTGTAGATCTGTGGGTTAGAATAAAGTTGAACCAAAGGCTGTGTCTCTTCTTTAAACATGTTTGAGGGAAATACTCCTGAGATCCAATAATTTTGTGTCTTTTTTATGATTTTTCAGTTGATTAACTTTAACAGATTATTTAATAAAGTTAAACGGAAAAAAAGATTTCACGATAAAGCCAGCACCGTTTATTTTTAATCTTAACTGATAAAAAAAAATAACATTTTTTTATACATAAAATATAAAAAATATTTCCACCCTCCGTCCCGGTCCTCCCTCCTGCCAGGGCTCGAATTCAGCCTTTGTGAGCAGGCGAGGCCGGGGCTCGGGGTTCGGCTTCGTGGGCTTCAACGGCTCGGCAGCTCGTATGATCCTCCGCGGTGACTCCGCTCGCTTGAATTTTATAGTCGTCACCAAACACAAAAAACACCTGGACTTCAGAATTAAACACGGCGTTGTCATTATTGTTTTTAAAATCTTAAAAATAGATCCAGCCGCTGCTCCGCATCCAAAGGAATTGCAAATGGTGGATCAGTAAAAAGTTTCTGAGATCCAGTGACTCCTCCCCCTGACCAGAGTCCTGCATTCACGTTTCGGTCCGGACTCAGCTCGGCTGAGCTCGCTCGGTCCCACCAGAGAAGCGGGGACAAAAAGAGGTCCTGAATCAGACTCAAATCAGCTAAATATACTAGCTGGTTGGTGCAAAAGGGGTACAAGTTAACATGACTGGTTATTGGGTGTGAATGGTCCTTGGTGATGCAGCTTGCTTTCCTTTGTACTGCATGGCTATAAAGTTCAGGGAGATGCATTTGAGGGGTTCTGATAAGTTTAGCTGCCTGTTTGATTACTGCAGAGCCTTCAGTCATAGACTGACACCACCGAGGTGCTCCACAGAACACCTCAGGAAGTCCTTCCTCCCTGTGGCTATCAGTTTTCAACTCCTCCCCTTTTCTACACAAAGGACAATAAAATTAATCCTGCACCACAATAAACTCTTTAATGTTTCTGTCTGTACCACCTGACCCGTTTTAGAACTTAATTGTTGGTATTTTTTTATTCTGTTTTTTTTTTTAATGGCTTGTGTGATTCTTTGTTTTTTTCATTCAACCTTTATTTAGACAGGTTAATCCCATTGAGCCTCGAGGACTCATTTACAAGAGAGACCTGATTTAACAAAGAATGATGACAACAGTAGACCATTCTAAAAAGGCATACAATTTTTATTTTTATTTTTTTTTTTTACAAATAAGATGACAAAAAAGTAACAAACAGCTAGATTCTAAGACGAATGTAGAAAACTAAAAACAGGAACATGTCTGCATTGGTTTTTGCCAGGACTCCTTAAAGCCGCAGAGAGGTCAAGGTCGAGACTTTCAGATCTTTTTGTAAGATTTTCCAGGAAACTGGAGCGGAGTAAGAGAAGACCCTTTTGCCTAGTTCATTCTGCACTGAGGGAACACTGCAGGTAATAAAGTCCTGAGAGCGCACGCTGTAGCTGCACTTGTTCCTTTGTACTGAAACTCTGGCACATTAATTTCCTGTGGGATCAATAAAGTTCCATCTTATCTTTATGATTCTAGTGAGTTTTATTTTTCTTTGTTTCTGTAAAGAAGTTGTGCCACATGAGATGTTGAATATAAGGACTGGCTAAATGAATGACCGGTACACTAGTGAAAATGTCCTGGATGACCTTGAGACATTGCGTCCTTCTCAGGAGAAATGGGAAGGGGGGTGTTGCAGATATACAGCGACGCCCGCAGCACAGCTCAGTCTGAGTGTTCATCAGTCAAACAGATCATATTGTCTGCATGCTTGGAGTGTCAGACCATTATTGTTGCAGGTTATTTCATTGGGTGTAGATAGAAATGAGAACACAGCCTTGTGGGACCCCAGTATTCAAAATAATGCTGCTAGATTTCAAACCATTGACCTTGACTTGCTGGGGTCTGTTTAAAAATTCCTTAATTCATAAAACCAAATGTTTATTTGCTTGAAGGCGATGAAAGAGTGTTTTATATTAACTGTATTGAAGGTAGATGGAAAAATAAAATCCTCGTACATGCGATGCGGGAGTCCAGGTGCTTTTGACACTATATCCAGGAGGGTTAGGCCGGCAGTCACGGCACCTCCCTCCCCTGTAATGGATCCATGCTCCACCTCCCCTCCATGGTAATGTGCTCCCCCACCACCTCCCGCTTCATGCACTTGGAGTGCCTAGGTGAGTGTCACAGGTCTAAAGTTGTTCATGGCTTTTGCTCACATCGTTTTATGAATGGGGATAATAATTTTTCCATGCTGTAGGTTCAAAGCTGGATGTCAACAACAGCTGAAAGAGCACATGACCTAACTGGGCTGTGCGCTCCTTCGGCGCTCGTTTGGATGCGTCTACAAAAGGGTCAGGGCTGAGAGGTCCAGCCCACTGTAGCTGCAGTGTTGTTCTAGCTCCGGAGACGTTAAGATGTTCTGCAAATGGAGAGGGCCACACTCGGCTGAACTTTGTGCTCTAACTTATCTTTGTAGGCGGAGCTTAGCCAGTCTGATCTTATGTTTCAGCTCCTTTTGTCAGTTTTTTACTTTTTCTCTTCATAAATGCCAATTTATTTCAGATTTCGGCAGTTTTAGCTCTCTGGTAGTCCAGAGCTTATCACTGCGGTAAATTCTGACCTGCTTTGTTTGTAAGACTGTCAACACAAAATGACACGAGCTCCATTGATGGATGAATAGAAACTCTGATGTCAGTGTTGGACCGGTGGATGGAAAAGTGTGTGTGTGTGTGTGTGTGTGTTACCTGTGGGGCAGCTCAGGTGTTTATCAGATCAAGTTCAGGTATAAATTAAACACGATTGATCACCTGATCCTGCTGCTCCGGTCAGGATCTGTCTAAGTCCTGGATCAGTTTTCTGTTCAGGTCAAATTAAAGACGTATCATCTGAAGCAACAGAATATTTTAGAGGAATGATCCAAATCATCAGAATCCGTCAGAAACCCACAGATCAGCAGCTCCATGTTATTGATCTGTTTGCTGTTTTCTCTTGTTAAACTCCATTTTTATTTAGAAAATCTTGGAACGGATTAAAATGTGTTCAGCTGCTCAGACTGCAGGAGTGTGGACGGATGGACCGGTTGCTGGATGGATGTCCACGTGTTTGGCTGTAGAAGGTTCTGGACCGAGGTGTAGCTCAGCTCCTCGTCACTTTGGTTGAACGCGCAGATCTTCTCCAGCTCATCTGGATCTAAATGAGCCGATAGAAGCAGCTGAAACGTGTGCATGGTTCTAATGTCTGCTTCAGTTTCAGTCCAGATGTGTCCATCTGGTTCTGGACACTTGATGTTTGGGTCAAAGGTCAGCCTAATGTAGCATTCGATGTCAGACCGTTTCTAATGTTTTTTTGGGGGTTGGTGATCAGCTGTAGAACCAGGATCATCACATTCAGACTCTGGAACCCTCAGTCTGGTTCCTGAGGTCCATAAGCCTGCAGTCAGGAGGTGAGGACGTCTTGGTGTGATCAGCCATCTTCAGAGTTTCTTCTCAACTGGGCAGAACTCTGGTGTTTTGTCACACCAACATGTGGACTGTTATCTGATTTATGACACAACCCGCTGATGTTTCTGGCTTCTCTGTCCACACGGGTCTGTCCTCATGAGTCCTGGTCCAGACCAGACTCCTCATATCTCCTCCATGATCTGAGTCCTCACAGGAGAACTTCAGGACAGAACTTGGTTTAAACTGGGTCTTGGGTCGTTTTCACACCTGATAGTCCGGTAGGTTTGGTTCGGGACCAATATTCATGACCTTTTGTTTACATTTGAGCTGGTGCGTTTGCATTCACACTGCACTGTACAGTCGAGTCAACCTGTTGAACCAACCTGTTCCCCCGCTTGCCTGTGGGGGCGCTGCACCAAGAACTACTGAAAGAAACGACACAAAAACCTCTGAAGACACGTCTTCTTCTTCTGTAAATAAAAATAAAAAAGAAGTGGCATCAAGTTTTAGGAGTTATATTTTGTCATTTTTCAAAAATGGACTTGGCATGAGCAGAAGATGAGACAGAAGACCATGGAGAATATTGTTTTCCACACAAGGCAGCTGACGGCTCCATATAAGGTCATAGAAATGCGTGTTTACCCTGCGGAGCGGGGCCCGGTCTGTTTGCATTCACACTGTGCTCGAACCGCGCTGGAGTTCGCTTCTACCGGACCGAGACCTAGGTTTTAGCCCGGGCCAGAGTTCGCCTTTTTGTTCCATGACAGAGTTTGATGGCGCGTTCACACCTCCCTAAAGGAACCGGACTTTCTAGGAAAATGAGCTAGAGTTCGATTTAAAGCGGACTAAACAGGGCTGGTGTAAATGCACCCTTAGTTTCTGTCTGTGACTCCATTTGTTCCTGTTTCTTCAACCCAAACATCAGTTTGTTGTTTGCTCTGTCTTCCAGGTTATCAGAGGAGTGAGGAGGTGCACATTCTTACCAGAGGAGGAGGAGCCGAGTGGGCTGTGAGACGACAAACGGCAGAGAGGATGAAGACTGTGAGGTGAGGAAGAAACTGCATGGACTTGTCTCATCCATCAGCTTCCTCACTCTCAGGCTCTGAGGAGGTCCTGGTCTCGTTGAGGGTCTCGGGGTGTGAGGACAGACTAGTTTCTCCCTGGTTGGGCTTTAGGATCAGTTCTAGACATGACCGGTTTCAAACGTCACTGATGTGTTTAAGGTGAATCTGTGCTGCTGCTTTGGGAGATGCTGTGGTGCTTTTTGTCCCAGCAGAGTTCCCGTAGCTTCCTCTAGCAGCAGCACGTTGCAGAGAAGGTGTGGGTGAATCTGCCGGTACTGGCTGAAGTTGTCAAATGGGACTTTTTAAAATGTTTGTTTTGGGTTTAATATGAAGCTTCTAGTGCAGGGTTATTAACTAAACTGCTCAGGGGCCGGACATCCAGCAATTAGTCATTATGCAAATTAACCAAGTATTACAAAGATCTGTTAACTTTTAAATCAATTTATTTTGCTGCATTGAATCATAAAGGCAACAAACAGCCAAATGAGCTCCACCCTTGTGGAGGCCCCTATCAGACCTGGCTCGCTTCTTCCCAGGAGGGGCCACAGAAACTGTGGCCTCAGTCCGGTGCTTCGAGCGCCTAGGTGGAGCACCGAGTTTGGGGCGAAACTGGGCCAGCCGGGCCACCCTCACAGCACGCGACATGAAGCTGCAATTCATGCAGGGGTTCTCTGACAGGGCCTCCACCAGATGGTCATGTCCAAGGCAGGCAGGACACAGGTCGTGACCATCATCTGTCCGGAGCATGGTTCCACAGACTGTACAGCAGTGAGAGCCGTCCATGCTCCTTACCCAGCTATGTCCAAGATATAGGACGAAAAAAATAACAGCAAGAAACTCAAAGGTTAACACCGCTAGCTCAGCTGGTAAGAGAGGACAATTGGGAGAGGGGGCGAGAACGCTCGCCTTCACCAATGAAAACAAGGCCAGGAACTTAGCTGGCTACGTAATAAGCAAACTTCGGAGCACAGTCCAACCGACCACGTGGTTGGAGGCCTCCAGTTAACAGGAGCGGAGCAGTTAACAGGAAAATATAAGCAAAAACACTACTCACCGGTGTTGAATCACACACATAGTAGTCAGACGCTGTAAGTTGGGAGAGGCGGAAACCGCCGTAGTCCCCAACGAATCAGCAGAAAATACCTTTGAACAGGGTTAAACCGTCGCAGCCCTAGGAGGGCGAACACTTTACTCCCGCAGACGGGCGGTCGGGCTTCTGACGACGGTAAAAAGTTCAGAAAAAGTCCAAAGGGCTGAAGCCCTGAATTGAACCGCGCGCGAGAAGAAAAAAGGAGCAGAGCTGCGGATGACGTTGGGCTATATAGCCTCTGATTGGTCATCTGTGTCACACCTGTGACTCCGTTGGTATTATTACTCGAACAGCGCATGCGCGAATGGAACATTCAGTACTTTCAGCACCGCCCTCTGGCGGTCAGGAGGGATGAAATGGAACTGAGTCCATGATGTTTTTCAACTTGCCGCTGAGAGTTAGGTGCACAAAACTCTGGTGAATGAAGCAGTGGTGCCACATCTGACAGCCCGTTCACTTTCCACACCATTAATGACATATTGTTGCTCATGAGCAATGCGGTCCAAATCAGTCCATTCTGTTTTAAAAAAAAAAAAAAAAGTTTTTTGTTCCCCAGCTTTGTGAATAATATTGTGTTACCATGTTTTCTAACTACCGGTACTCTTGTTGGCTAGCAAGTGCTACAAGTAATGATGTGCGGATCGATACTAAATTTCGATATTACCAATACCAGAACTTTTCGCTCTAGAATCGATGTTTAAATCAAACTATCGATACTTTTCACTTACTTTAATTCAGTCATCTCAGGTAATGCATATCATTTACAGGAAGACGGTGGAAAGTAATTTAACTATTGATCTTAAATGAAACGCGGTTTGTGGGAACTGGGAACTACTTTTTCTTCCACCTGTGTAAGTGTGTAATGTGTATAAGCGCAGCGGCACACTGCTCACTCTCTCAGTCTGTAAACATAGCGGCAGAGCATAACGGAGTCAGGTGTGGAGCCATTTCTGCTCCAAAAACAGCCAAGAAGTTGTTTGTGAGGTTTGTAGAAAAACTGTAAAGAGCTGTAGCAACACAACAAACCTTGTAAAACACTTCAGGTTAAATCACAACATAGGATGAGGCAGTGATGAGGCGGACGGAGGAGGAGAGCAAAGAGTCAGGTGCTGCTGCTGGACGTGAGGAATAATGATTGGCTGCTCTGACTGCCTGCGATCAAAGATTGTCTATATACAAGATCACCACTCTGATGAAAATATTTCTCATTTCAGATTTTGTTTGTTCTTTTTTTTTTCTTATTTCTAATCTGTTTTACATCTTGATCATTCTGTAGAAATAGATTATTAAAATTCATTAAAAATTGTTTCAATTATTCAATTTTTAAAATTTTTATTTCAATGAACCCCTTGGCAGGCCAGATTGAAGTCACCCACGGGCCTCCAGTTGAGTGGCCTTGTTCTAGCGTTTCTCAGGTGTTCAGTGTCAGCAGCCTGTCATGTTGCTGTGCACACTTGTAGAAAAGATTTAAATATTTATTTTTTGTGAAATAAACCAACATTAAGGTCTGTAGTCCTATTTCTGTCTTTTCTGGACAAACCTCAAATGCTCACCTGCTGCTTCTGGAGTTTATTCACAGACCTGATAAACGATCACGATGTTTCAAGAAAAGTTAATAATAATAATAATAATAACTTGATGATGACGACGACAACGATTATGATAATAGAGCCCTCTGAGCGGTAACTGAATCCAGAGTAGAGCTGTCATTTGTAACCCAGTCCACACCGACCCAGATTAGAGCCGGGCTGTTATAATGTGATTAATGGGCGGGCCAGTCTCGGTCTTTGATGTGGTTTTATAAATCATACAGCAGAAATCAAACTAAATAATAATGCACAATATAACACTGTGTTAATCTACTTAGAGGAGGAGGCAGTAACAGTAAGTTTACTGTTGAGGAATGTATAAAATAAAATGAAGTGCCGAAGTTAATTAGACTGTTAAAGGAGAGTTGCGCTGGCGGTGCATTGCGTAACAATTACGCATGGCCCCGCCCGCCCTGCTTTGCTCCTTTTATGACACATACACTTGACCCACACACAATTAAGTGACATAATGGAGCAAAAAAGTATAAAAGAAAAGCTAAAAAAACTCACTCTTCAAAACCAGCACGGTGCGAGGTCTGGATTCTGGACCCTGACGCACAAAACGCTCCAGAAATGTTGAGACCATTGCGGCTGTGCACAGCTCTTGTGCAAAGCTCTTGTGCATTAAAGAAAATAATCTGGTCTCTGCGCAGCTTTCAGACTGTACTCGGATGGACGAGACAAGATTCAGCACTGTCTCAAGTCAGTGCAAGACATTGCAACGAGCTGTGTGAGAAGACGTTCGCCTGGAGCAGGCGTGCATGGACAACGTCTCCCCTGACACGTTGGGCTTTTTAGTCACATTTCTAGAACTGTTTTACCATGCACAGAGAAAACTGGAAGGTGACAAATATCCCACTATCAACCTTGTTTGCCTCTGAGAAACTGAAGCAACGCTGCCAGTCCTCACATGTACAGACTCGTGTTTGTGTGCCTCATGCAGAAGTACTGGAGTGCAGAATCATTATCCATGACTTGGGGGGCCGTTTACACGGCACATATTTTGAGTGAATCTGCTCCTTTCTCTCTGCAGAGCTGCACTTTACCTGCGGCCTAATTTGAACAAACTTAAAATGATGACTCCTGCAGTGCTGATGCGTGTCAGGTGCACGCTCACTCAGGTCCGCGCTGCTCTCAGTTGGCCGCACAGCGGAGAACTGCTTTCTACAGCACAATATTGTTTTTACATGACAAACTATGTAAGTAGAAGAACACACAATAACTTCTTGACAGCTTTTTAAATATATTTATAATTTTGTATTTAGACAACTTGGGTCTTATTATTTTGCAGGTTCTTAGCTGAAAAAATTAGTCTGATGACCCGGCACAGAGCCAGCTGCATATATGCACTTTTTATTTTGTTCATGTTTGTGCAATTCTTATTAATATATTTTTTTTATAATTTTGTTCTTCATCACTCCCGTTATTGTTACAATTCAACATTGTGCAATATTAGTTTCTGGCTCTTTATTTCTTTATCCATCCATCCACCCATCCATCCATCTTTACCCGCTGTCTGTTATTTGTTATAGTTTGTTTATTAAAGTATTAGCATAAGCATCGTTTTAGAATGTAGGCCTTTTTCAATTTATTTTTCATGCACACACCAGTTTTATTCTGTGGTGTGATGCGGGTGAACGCTCCATCATCAGTGACAGCATGACTGAGCCTAATTTTGCTCGGCTTTCTTTTATATCTAAATTAAAACAGCCTTGTTCTGTATTTTTCCAAAAAAATTTAATCTCTAAAAAATATTTTTGTTCATCTGTATGATAGATTAGCACGGTGGCGCAACTGGTAGAGCTGCTGCCTCTCAGCGAGCAGGTCCCCGGTTCAAATCCCTGTCTGGGGGCCTTTCAGGGTGGAGTTTGCATGTTCTCTCTGTGCATGCGTGGGTTTTCTCTGGGTTCTCCAGTTTCCTCCCACTACGGGGTCGGGCTGGGTCTAATTTATTAGGCCTGAATGCAACTCTAATCCAGAAGAAGGTAAATCTTCTCCTTCCTGATCCTGACTGTTTTTCTGATTTAACTCAAATGTGTCCTGTTCTAAACGCCAAGCCCTCAGGGTGTTGGACCTTCAACGGGTGTGTTAAAGGTGTCTAACCCTCCCCCTTCAGAAACGTCTTGCGTTCTGTCAGGAAATGATGGGCTAATAGGAGGCGGAGCTTAAAATTTGTCTTCTGTGTTTCAGGTTTGCATTCTGTGGATGAAGTCCGTGCAGGAGACTCCATTCAGGTATTAACTACACCTGTGGGGATATAGGCCACACCTTTCCTCACCTTGTTTCAACACCTGGGCTAAACTCTGAACACCTACTGATGAAACAGAACATCTGGACAGAACCTCTGGATGACGGCACAACACGTAGAACTGAATCCCATCTGGGGAAACTCCTCAAGCTCAAGAAGCTTTACACCAGTAATAAGGACTAGAGCTAGAACTTTTAGCGGTTTTGATGGGTCCAAGCCTCTCGTGGACCCAATTCTTAGCTGCACACCGTGGACCTGCTGACCTCAGCCTTGTTCCATGAAGGGTTGGTTGGTGATGGATCTGTTCTAGATCTGTCGCAGCAGCTTTTAGCTCTGTAGTTTCAGATTATCAGGTCCCAGAGCAGCTTGTTGCTTTCCTTTGTTCTCTGGATAAACTTGGTGGACTAGAGACGGAGTTCTGGTTGTCTCGGATTATGTAAGTCCAAGTTCTCAGTTCAGGCCCATTTTTAACCAGTATTCTGAAGATAAGTCCCACTACACCAGAGCTGGCTGGTTGCTGACTCACCTGGGTTTCACATCCAGTCCTCTCACCAAATCGGGGCCCAGCAGGTCTCAATGAACCTGGATCCTCCACGTTCTCTGGCATAACACCTTGAGTTAATGGTATAATCTAATTAATGATGTGACTTTTATTTAAAAAATAAGGATCAAACGACATCCTTTCTTCAGGGAAATGCTCAGAACACTTGAAAGCTCAGTTATCAAACAAGTTTGAAAAAGATCCTTCACTTTGGAGCTGAGTTTTTTGTTATGAATTTTAAAAGCTCCTTTGTATCATGTCTGGTTTTAAATCCCCCTCAGTCCTTTGTGTGGACATCCAGGTCTATTAAATGTCCCATCAAATTCCAGGTTCTTAAAGGTTTCTGTTAAAGTTCTCTCAGCTTCTTCCATCAAACAGACGGTAATTCTCAAACCCTTTACTGTTTCTCACAGCAGCTCAACATTAACAAACTTGAAGACAGGTAGTGAGCTGCAGGATTAACAGCCAGACTTCCTGTTCGTTTTCAACTGTGACTGGTGCTGTACGTCCTCTCAGAGGCTGGACCTGCAGCTGAAACAGGTCTGTGGTTCCTCATTGGTCCTGTGAGAGCAGCTCCGGGTCATGTGACCTGGACGGGTCAAACTGAGCAGTTCTCACTTCAAACCCGGACAGAGAAATGACGTTCAGAGGATTCAACGACACTGATCAGGTCCTGACCCAGTCCAAACCTGGTCCTGAGCTCATCCTTGGTTTAATGTTTTAAATTCCAGCTCTCCAGTTTTTCTGGAGTCAGCACACACACATTTACACACACACACACACACACACACACACACACACACACACACACAC